GAGCTGCTCTGGAGGCTGTAGTGGTCCTCCTCGTCTTCGTCGTCCTCCTCCTCTCCGTCGCTGATGCAGTCTACGCTGTCCACCTCGCCGGGAGTGAACTCCATGCCCTCGATGTCCACCTCTGCACAAACACAACATGTAGAGTTATATACGGAACAAAGACGGGGCGAGAAGATTTGTTTCCACCCACATGTCCCACACGGTCTCTGAACCTGGATTTAGGCAACTTTTAATTTTGAAGTGCTGCTGTTTCGGCGTGTTGTTTTGATTGTTTTTATATTAGTGCTTAGTGTATTTTTAGTTGATGTATTTCTTAGTTCATATCTTCCATCTTAACGTTTTTCTTTTACATTTTATTGCTGGATGTAACTGGGACCCTGAGTACATAATCTCATTCCACCACATGTACCACATGAGATGCGAATGACAAAGAAAGTGTGACTCTCTGAAGGGAACAAGCTGAAGTTGGTGCTCTCACAGGACTCTCAGCTGCAGGCGTTCCCCTCAGCCAGGGTTAGATGTATGACAGTGGGCCAAAGGTTCAGGGAACTCTGGGACAACTACACTCCTCTCCAGGTTCACACAGCGTGGCCTAATGTTTGCAGAGGAACCACTCAGAAACATCAAATGTGGGGGGGACGAGTTCGTGCACCACGTGGCGTGACCACAACAGAAGACACAAGTCGCCCCCCCCCCCCCCACACACACACGATCAAAGGAGAGCTGTGTGAAGCTCCAGCGCTGACAGCTGTCTTATCTCTGCACACCTGCTCCACCATCCAACGAGCGACGCCTCGAGAGATTCGCCAGGGTTTGCATACTAAAGCACCGCTCTGACCTCAGATCACTGTGCCGCTGACACGCGACACATGAACTCTCCCACCGTCAGCAGCTGCAAAGGAGCTCCAGAGCAGTTTATCTCTAATCTGAGGCGTTAACCTTTGACTCAGGGCAGCAGCCTGCGGAAGAGGCCGCGGCTAATCGTCTGAGCACACTACTGCTTGGAGTCAGAACGGCTACAGGACTCAGGTGGGTGTCAGCTGCTGCATGTCAGTTTGTTCACATCTTCCAAACGGGGGTTCATACGAAGGTTATGAACCTACCAGCGGTGAACACAGCCAACCAAAAAGTTAGCTTCACTAACGCTAAACCGCTAAGACGACAGTCAGTGTGCGTCACACGTCTTCGTCTCCTTCCAGCTGAAGCTAAAGCTTTTAAATTCCTGCACGCACTAAAAGGTCATCTGAAACAGGTAAGATACTAACAACACTGAATAAGACGCAGATGAGAAGATGAGCCGTGTCAGCAGAATTTCAGACAGTCTAGTGCAGGACTATTCAACTGGTGGCCCGGGGGCCAAATCAGGCCCACCAATGAACTCAGTTGGGTCCACCAATGGGTTCATTTTTAAATAAAAATAGATTTTAAACCATAAAACAAAGTAAATGACAGTAACTGTGGATGTCCGGCCCCTGAGCTCTTGGCTTTCAGTAACTGTGGCCCCTGAGCAGTTTAGTTGAACAGCCCTGGTCTAGTGTTTGAGGCCGGTCTGACCTTGCTCTGAGTCCGTGGAGATGGTGGAGCCCATGCTGTCGGTGCGGATGCGCTCCATGGATCCCGACACGGAGAGCTGCTCCAGGCGACGTTTGAGGTAGCGGTGCTCCCTCTGAAGCTGCTCCTTCATGGTTAAAGCCTTCATGTCCTGCTCCTCCAGCTTCTGCACACAAACAACACACCACCAAAAGATGAGCCACGACGTCCACTTTAGGACTTCAGGGATGGACCAAAACAACTTTAACGTCACCGTTTCATCTTAAACTCTGGCACGAAAGGCAGCGGGTGACAAGCATTCCCCCAATTCTGGGTATTTTGTCTAAACAAAACATTAGCAGAAACAGATGTTTTTGTTTCACAGACATTTAGATTCTTGTTTTGTGCAACTTGTGTTGTCCTCAAGGTTTAAGGTAGGAAAACTCTGTCAAGTTTAAAACCAGGTTAATGCAGTTAGATCTCTGCCGATGACACAGAAGAACAAGTTCAACTCTAACAAATGACAGTATTTTCTGAATGCAGCCGCTGTATGAGACTCCGGGTCAAGAACTAAAAATAAAAACACAAACTGAGGATTTGGCTCCGGTTGAAGCAGGGCTTATATTGTGTACCTATTTGCATCACAGTTTTCGGTGGTGCAAAGCGAGGCCTGCTGTGATACGAGAATCGACGTGCACCATCTGATCAGAGAGGACGTGTGCTGTAAACAGGAAGTGAAGGGTTAAAACGCTCGACGGCTGGATTTTCCAGCAACCACAGTGTTGTTGCTGCCTGTAAACAGCTGCGTCACACGGCACCATCTGAACTGGGCTCAGGTTGCCTCCTCTATTTCGTGCACGAAATAAAGGTTTTCCAGCGAGTCACCACTGAACTCCTCGTCTTTGACGGACCTTTGTGTCTGAACTGAAACGAGGTTTATCTCTAAATGAACAAAACTATCTTCTCATCTACAGCGCAGCCACACAACCCTCTGCAGGTTCACCCATTCACAGATGTCTTTCTTCTAGGGTTCACTTTTATTCAAAGTCTGATGCAAAGATTAGAAAATGAAAGTCTTAAAAAAAATCTACAATTGATTTGTTTTGAGTCAGAACTGTAACGTGATAAGACCTCATCGTTTCATCGTTCAGCCTGTGGTGATAGCTTTGTTTTAAAGGAACAGTTAAAAGTGAGCTTGCTTTGATAAAAGCAGCACGTTTAGGTGAGGTTAAACAGGAACTGTTGTCAAATGACTAAGATCAGGAGCAACAACAGGAACTGTTTTCCTGATGTGCTTGTGTGTTTTTTAGTACCTTAATGTGCATTTTGGCCCTTTTCAGCAAGCTCAGGGTGGTGTGTCTTGTGCTGTCTGGACCCAAAGGCACCAACTTCTTCAACTGCTCCAAGTAGAGGCGTAGCTTGGCACGTCTGCAAGCACACACACGAACGAAATGAGTCAGCACCTGTCCACACACACACACACAGACAGGTCGAGAGATAGGCACGTCCCTTAACAGCAGAGGCTGTTTTGTACTCTGATTTTCGTGGTGCGTTCAGGTGCAGTGGGACTTCTGTTTTGCTTGTGACTGTCAGACATTTTTAAAGTGGCCTCAGGTGTTGGTGCTTAAGGTCAAGTAAGGCCTCTGATGCTCTCCAAGAAGCCGATGAAGCTGACTGATGAGCGCTGGATGATTTAAACACGTTGGATGATTTAAACACGTTGGATGATTTA